CTGGCTCCAGTGTTGGTACTGGCGCTTGTTGTGTTGACACAGTGAGTGAGGTCATGACTTGGACAGTTCCCCCATGCAACCAAGCAGTTTAGAAATGGGGCTCAAAAGTTTCATACACATGGGTCTGTTTGAAACCAATAGGCTAGTAGTGCCAGTGGCTAATTAAATAGCCACAACTCTGTTTTGCACTTTTACCTGCTCACTTGACTAAACATTATCACTAAATTTCTCCTTCCTCTTGATTTGTGTCTTGGTAGCTGAAACCCCAGGCTCTATGACAGGGGTAGCCAAACTTACTGATCCTCCAAGCTGCATGCGACAATCTTCAGGCACCTCCTGTGGGGCTGAAGCTCCTAGACCCCCTCCCCACTGGGCAGAAGCCCCTAGCCCCACCACCCTGAGCTCCCCCTTCCCCCGCAGTCTGATGGGAGGAGAATGGGGAGGCGTGGGGGGCTCCACGAGCTGTACTTTAACTGTAAAAGAGCCACATGTGGCTTGTGAGCTGCAGTTTGGTCACCTCTGCTCTATAATAAGGCACGTATGTAAGTGTAATCAGTTCATAGATAATGTGACAGTAGATGGCGACCAAGACTATGTAGCATCGTTAATTGGTTTTGTACTGAGACTGTGAATGCTTTGGATGTGTAGCTTTGACAGATAACACTGGGTTCCCCTCCTCCATACACTGCCTGTAATTTGCATAAAAGTGCAACCTACTTAAAGTTGGAAGGATTAGATTTTTTTATCAGTAAATGTCAATAAACGTCAATTTCACTGTGTACGCACAAACCAATGAAAATGTGGTTCTAGACCAGTGATTTTCAACCTTTTTTATTTGCAGACCCTTGAACAATTTCAAATGAAGGTGCGGACCCCTTTGGAAATTTTAGCCATAGTCGGTGGACCCCCAGGGGTCCACGTGGAGCACAGGTTGAAAACCACTGTTCTAGACAGCCCAGCTCTGCTCCCAGCATGCCCAAGCCCCAGCCCAGGGAACTCACTGTTTCTGGCTGGCTTCTGTTTTGTGGAACCTTGAAACACACAGATGTCTGAGCAGGAGCCTAGAATGAATCTTTCAACTCAGCCCAATGCAGAGTTTAGTTTATCACTGTTTATAGCATGCACCTAATTAGAGAGTCTCTGGGTGCATGTACCTTAACTTGCATATCACATGACAGCCAACCCTCACCACTCTGCCACGTGGGGCTGCAATGAGACCTGCCAGCGTTTAGTGAGCACGCGAGATGCTGTCATTCTTTCACTGAATCCCCACGGAGCAGTTGCCCTGGGTGCGGCCTAGATTTTCTCAGCCCAGGAAGCTGGGCTGTTCTGGATCCCTGCCCTCAACTTGCTCAGCCTAGATACCCAGAGTATCAGTTGAGATGTCCCTGGCCTTGGCTGCTCCGCTAGATTTTTCCATCCCAGTGCGACATTCCCAGTGGTTTCAGCAGGGACCTGTGGAATGTCTCCATTTCTCACTGGGGCCTCTGAGTTGTCCCACCTGAACAAAATGAGCATTGATAAAGACTTCTGGACCAGCCACATGTAAACAGGAAAGCCCTTCTCAGTCCCAGCCGACCCTGCTGGGAAAAGAAATAACAGGATGTGAATTGCAGCCTCAAACAGAATGCAGTTTCTTTCACTCTTCTCCCTGGGCAGCCCCAACAGGCGCCATCTGGGGAGGGTTCAAGTCTCTGAATGCTCCAGTCTGCCATGCTTCCAGGGGATGTGTCCCATCCAAATGGCTGCTGCTGGCAAGAGGCTTCTGACTCCCTTTGCAGAGCTAACTGTGTTCAGGCAGAGGACTTAGGTGTGCAAAGACCCTGTCAGCACTTAAACCTTGATTGCTTCTGGGAGGGGAAAATGGCCAGAAGCTGAACAGCCCTGGGCTAATGTGCTTTGCTTTCATTTTCCGAGTTGCAGTGAGTTGTAAATGCATCCAAGCACAGTGCTGATCAGTCGCTCGGTACAAACAATTGTCCTGATCATTGCTGAGATATGTGGCGCTTGTTTCCCTGCTAGGAAAAATCACCATTAGGAAAACTTCGTTGTAGGCTTAGACTTGGTGTTTATGTTTATACACAGCTTTGTGTTTGGTGGAGAGGACGCAGCAACAGCACTGGATCAGCGCAAGGGCCTGGAACAAACAGGGTTGTATTCTAGTCAGTGTCCCAGCAGGAGGCTGCTCTAGCCCCTCTCGCTAACCCATGTTGCTGCAAGGGTCCGTGTGAAATGGAAAATTATCTAGGGAAACTATCATAGGAGCATGTTCTCCTTAACCCTGACAGGCAGCCCCTTCTCTGGCTTAGGCTTTGTTCACCCTGTGACATTGCACTCCATATGATGTTATGAAAATATGCTAATGTGTGAATATAATGTAACTGGAATATGCTTCATTCAAAAGGTCTCTTGTAAGGTATCATTACAAAGCTTATAATCTACTGAGTGTGTTCATCCTATTTGTATGAATGTATCATTTTTGTATCTGAAGCTAGAAATATGAAGTATTACTCTGAGGTCCTATTGTAATTATGCAAAGTGTGGGCCATTAATGGTGGCTTGGAATCTTTATGGCTCCCAATAACCAGGACAATTGGTTGTAAATGGCTCTGTTTACTTGTAAGTCTTCCTGTATACCCATGTGCTGGCAAGTGGGTAATGAAGTCTTACAGTGACATGTGATCAAGTCACCTAAATTGGAATCCATCTTTAACCTGGTGCTTTTCCATTTAGAAGGAGGGGTGGGAACCCAGAGAGGGACAAGGGATTCCCACCTTGTGCAAAAGCTACTTAAGGGGGTGGAACTGAACAAAGGGGACTGCAGTCATGAGAAATCCCCTAGCTACCACCTGAGCTGGAACAAGGACTGTACCAGGGGAAAGGATTGGGCCCAGACTAGGAGACTAGTCTGTCAAAGAAGCTTATTGGAACATCTCTGAGAGTGAGATTTACCTGCGTTGTTTCCTACGGTATTAGGCTTAGACTTGCGTGTTTTAATTTATTTTGTTTGGTAATTTACTTTGTGTTCTGTCTGTTATTATTTGGAACCACTTAAATCCTACTTTTTGTATTTAATAAAATCACTTTTTACTTATTAATTAACCCAGAGTAAGTATTAATACCTGGGGGCGGGGGGACAGCTGTGCATATCCCTCTATCAGTGTTATAGAGGGCAAACAATTTATGCGTTTATACAGGGTAAGATGGATTTATTTGGGGTTTGTACCCCTTTGGGAGCTGGGTATCTGAGTGCTGGAGACAGGAGCACTTCTTAAGCAGTTAAGCCTGCAGCTCATGCGGGATGTGGTTCAGACTTGGATCTGTGTTTGCAGCAGGCAAGCGTGCCTGGCTCATTGGAAAATGGGCTCAGAAGTAGTCTAGGCACATCAGGTGGCAGTCCCAAAAGGGTTTCTGTGATCCAACCCGTCACGCCCCCCCCCCCCAGCATTAGTCACAGCAGGTTTCTTCCTGCTCACCCCCACTTACATCCTAGCGGATGTTTTTTCCCCCCAGTGTACACCTTATGGCAGCCGCCTTTCTGCTCATTCACCAGCTCTGATTCCAGCACCTAGGGTGAAATCCTGGCCCCATTGAATCAGTGGGATTTTGCCACTAATGACAATGGGGCCAGGATGTCCCCTCTAGTCTCTAGTGCTTTTCATAGACTCCTAGAAATGTCAGACTGGAAGGCACATCAAGAGGCCATCAAGTCCAGCCCCCTGCACTGAGGCAGGATCAGTAAACTTAGACCAGCCCTGACGGGTGTTTGTCCAACCTGTTCTTCAAAACCTCCAATGACAGGGATTCCACAACCTCCTTTGGAAGTTTATTCCAGAGTTTAACTATCCTGAGAGTTAGAGAGTTTTCCTAATATATAACCTCAATCTCTCTTGCTGCAGATTAAACCCATTGCTTCTTGTCCTACCTTCAGTGGACATGGAGAACAGTTAATCACCGTCCTCTTTGTATCAGCCTTTAACATATTGGAAGACTGTTATCAGATACCCATTCAGTCTTCTTTTCTCAAGACTAAACATGCCCAGTTTTTTTAACCTTTCCTTATAGGTCAGGTTTTTCTAAACCTTTTACAATTTTTGTTGCTCTCCTCTGGATTCTCTCCAATTAATCCACATATTTCCCCAAGTGTGGTGTTCAGAACTGAACATAGTACTCCAGCTGAGGCCTCCCCACTGCTGAGTAGAAAACGATAGTTACCTCCCATGTGTCACATTGTTGACTCCTGTTCAATTTCTGATCCACTACAACCCCCAGATCCTTGTCAGCAGTACAACAATCTAGCCAATTATTCCCCATTTTTGTAGTTGTGCATTTGATTTTTTCCCCTTCCTAAATGTCATACTTTGCAATTGTCTTTATTGAATTTCATCTTGTGGATTTCAGACCAATTTGTTATGCTTGTCTTGAATTCTAACCCTGTTCTCCAAAGTGCTAGCAACCCTTCCCCAACATGATGGTCTGCACAATGCAGCCCTGAGAGGGGCAAAGAAAGTGCCCTCATTAAATGGGGCTTTTCTTGCACCTCTTATGTATGTGGTTTAATTAGACAATTGGAAGGGGTATTTTTCTGTTCTGGGATCCTGGAGGCCCCGGGTCCAACTGCAGGCGAGGTTGCCATGTAGTATGACTCAGCTGAGGTCATTTACATATGACATCAGTGTCACTGCCTCAGCCATGCCATAGAGGAGGGAATCTTTAGCTGCAGAAAGGCCAGAGCTGAAAGCCATTTAGATGGTGGTGGTGGGGATTAAGGCTCAGCGCCCCTCCCCCCCCCCCCCCCCCCCCAGCAAACACTGGCAATTGTGAGCGGCTCTAACATGTTGCCAAGCAGAGGGCAGTGGTGAGACAGGCTGGCCAGTATAGGCTGTAAGTTGAGACTGGGCCCTGCAGGCAGGAATCCCAGCAAACAATTGCCAGTAGCCCAGTGCTGTAGAGGCATCGGTGGTTGATTGGGGAGTAATTGGGGTTTATGCTTGTTCCAGCAGAGTATCCCCAAGGACCTGCCCCCACGCTGTGGAACGAGCCGCCGGAGCTGCCGTCGGGAGGGGGCCCCTTTGATGCCGCCACCACCATGGGTCGCTTCTCGGACTCTACAGCCTTCCCCCCGTACACCTCGGAGTATGAGCCTGAGGACACCACCCGCCTGCACCGTCTGGATGATAACGGTACGTAGGAATCTCCCAGGCAGCACCCTGCACCATCCTCGATTAGAACTGTCCAGCCCACAGCCATCACCTGCACACCTGAGCCCTTCTGTTTGGAGCAAATGTTACCATGATTTAGGAGAAAATCCATAAGGTATTGCTGAGAACTCCGTTATCTGTGATCTCCAGTAAAAGGGGAAGTGAATGCTGGCCGTATAAGCCATTCTGTTCTTTATCGCTTGTTTAGCACCATAGATATACATGGCACTCCTAGGGTTGCCAACTTTCTAATTGCACAAAACTGAACACCCTAGCCCCGCCTCACTCTCCCTCACCCTCATTCACTTCACTGGGCTGGGGCAAGGGGTTAGGCTGCAGAAGGGGGTGAAGGCTCTGGGGTGGGGTTGAAGATGAGGGGTTTGGGGTGCAGGAGGGGGGTCCAGGCTGGGCGGTGGGGCCGAGGGATTTGGAGTGCGGGAGGGGGCTGGGGGTTGGGGTGCAGGAAGGGGTACAGGCTCTGGGGTGGGACTTGGGGTAGGGAGTTGGGGCTCATGGTTGGGGTGTGGGCTTACCTTGGGTGGCTCCTGGTCAGTGGTGCAGCGGGGCTAAAGCAGGCTCCTTACCTGCCCCAGAAGCAGTCAGCAGGTCTAGCTCCTAGGCACGGCACACTGCACTTGCCTGCAGGCACCGCCCCCTCCCACCCCCAGTGCTTGGGACAGGGGCAGCTTGTGGAACCCCACCCCCACGCCTAGGAGCTGGACCTGCTGGCCGCTTCCGGGGCACAGCGCAGTGCCAGGACAGGTAGGGAGCCTGCCTTAGCTCTGCAGCACTGCCGGATGTTTAATGGCTCGTAGGCACTACCCAAAACAAAGATGGATTCACTGCCCCAAAATCTATTTAACCTACTAGGGTTAGCAGTGAGATGGCCTAGAGAAGGAAATCAACCAGACTCTGGAATCCTGCAGGGTCATTGTGTCCCATCACAGCACTTCCCATCCCCACAGGCTGCGCTTTCCAATAAACTAGCCCTCAGTTCCCCATGTTTGGAACCCGATCCAGGAGTTCCAAGCAGCTCAGATGTTTCAGACCCTTACAAAGCCCCCTGGGTTTATATTGTGTCTTGCTGAATCTTCTTTGGTCTTCTGTGTAACAAGAACGATGTCTGTGGTAATGGAAAATCCAAATGAGTCTGTCCTCATCATTAACTAATCGCGTGAAAACCGCATGCATTGCCTCCTATGCTCTTTCACCTTGAATGTTATTTCCTTGGGACTGCGCTCCTCTGATACAGTGCGAGATAGGAGCCTATTGGAATTTCTGTTTATTCCTATCCCTACTCCCTCTGCCTGCCCCTCCCCATGGTGTTCCTGCTTTTGGTGCAAGAGCTTTCTGCTGTGCAGCTCCTGCCCTCCGGAAAGCTGTGCTGTCTCGCTCCCTGCTCTAGCTATGTTCAAATCATGTCTGTAAAGTTCTTTTCCCCACTGCCTGTGTCTCTTCGTTGTTCTCTTCTCCTCTCACTCTGTGGTCTGTTGTTTCCCTTCTGTAAGTAATTCTGGGCTCGTTTGTCTGAGTGACCCTATCCACACCACAGCTGTAACATGGGGCCATGCAGAGACGGTTTCCCTGTTAGCCCATTCAGATGGCAGCAATGGCTGTCACCTCAACACAATCACTGAATGCAACTTCCTTGTGTCACATGACAGCAACTCAGGGAACTGTCGCTATCAAGCAGGTCTCTGATCAGATAAATGACCACCTGACGGCACAGGTCTTTAGCACAGTGGCAAAGGGCACTGCTAGCCAATTGACCCTTCCTGTGATCATTCACCAGGACACGTGTTGTATTTTAAACCTCCCTCCACCTTCCAAGTTAACTCACTACAGACTTTAGAAGCCAGTTGGGAAAGTGGCACTTCAGTCCTGCCATGGTCTTTAAACTGGGAGAGATGGGCAGCTAAGCAGCTGTGTTGACCCCTGGGTATAGTTCAGTGGCTGGGCTGTGTCACATCATCACTCATCTGAAAGCTTTGTCAGGATAAACGCAGAGAACCACTCAACCAGAGACACACACCCCACCCTGCAATTACAATGAGTGTTCCCCTATTGGAATGAAGCAAGCGCAGCTGGCAGGCCAGCTGAGAAAGGGCTTCACTGTAGATGGTTGGCACAAAGCTATGTCGATACATTGTGTGTCATGATGGGCCAAGGGAGGTAATGATGTAAAGAGACCACAAGGTCCTGGAGTTGTTGGTGCCACCATGATCACTGCTCTCCTGGGCACCTCTGTGATTGTGGCCCTGATTGTTGTCACCCTGCAAAAATTCTCTGTCTCCTGAACTCTCCCAAAGGGCAGGACCATGCCGGAGACCCTGCCTGCGGCTCCAACCATCATGTGGGATCTGGCCCCAGGCAATTATCTCCTAATGAACACGTACCCCTGTGGCTACACAGCCCCTTCCCCACCCAGGTTACTGCACTGCCTTCAAGTCTATAGCAAATGCTCAGATCCAGGCATCACTTTAAAATATGCTTCCCTCTTATCTTCCTCCCCCTCTCCACTTCCCTCCCTTGCTCATTTTCACCCCACCCCAAGGCTTCCAACACTTGGTTGTCACTGGTCCAGAGCCGCTGGGATTGCTGGCGGTGGCTTTCAAGAGGTTTCCAAAGGGAAGCTAGCAGCAGCACCACTGCTCCTTGGAAGCCTGGCTGCCATCCGAGGGAGAAGGGCTGTTGTTGGGGATGGAAGACAGCAGCTGTAGTGTCTGCAGGGTGCTTGTGTCACTCAGGGTGTTGCAGGGGGGAAGGGGGAAGGGGGTTTAGATGAATGTTAATAATTAGTGCAGGTGGTTTGGTTTTATCCCATTTTTCCTTGGAGTTTGCTGGGGTTTGGTAGAGGAACATTCATATTTGAAGCTGGCTTTCTTCAATTAACCACTGTAAAATCCAACAGCCCTGGCCCCGTCCATACATGTGCCGGGGCCTGCAGTGCAAGCGCTGGCTGCTGAATGCGCAGTGTGGGGGCGGCTCTGCGGAACGATTGCACCAGTCATTTCCATAGTTGTACTCGGCACTGGGTATTTCCCAGGCATGCAGGATCGCGCCCAAGGGCAGTGGGGGCTGAGTATTGCAGGAGTGGAAGATTCAGCCCGCCTGGGTGGAGGGGAAGGGAGGAGCGTGTCCTCACTGAATACTATCTCCTGTGGCTGCCAGGAGATTAGTGGGGACAACACTGGACATTCCTGCCTCAGCCTTCCTGGTCCTGGAGCTAGGCTGTCTGCTGAGCTCTATGTGCCCAGGGATTTGTGGATATACTGTTTTCCACAAGCCTTTAGCTTGGAGTGACCTCCAGCTCTTTGTGCGGTTCTGAGCCTTTCTTTTCTCTCCCTGGGTTCTCTGCAGGGTCTCTGGGTCCTGGAGCCATCAGTGCCATCGTAATCGCTGCTCTCCTAGGCACATCTGTGATTGTGGCCCTGATCGTCATCACCCTGCGAAAATTCTCTGCCTCCTGAACTGAATAAAAGCTTTTTCCTAATACAAGTGTCTTCTGCCTGTCTGTGTCTCTGGCCTACTCCATCTGTGTCTGACTGCAAAGGACCCCATTGAGGATGCACCTCAGTGAGGAGTCTCAGGGCCTTTTAACAGACTTTAACGCCACCACTGCCCTCCATGTATGTTTACTCCCACCTCAGTGGTAAATTAGAGCCATGTGGGCTGTTGCTGCAGGAGCGTCTCTGGGTTGCTCGTGCTGCTCTGAGCCACAGAATTGTTCTGGTCCTTTGCTGGAAGCTGAGAGATTTGTGACTCTGTGACACTTACGCATAGCTGCTGCCCTTGCTTCCTGCAAACAGCCACCAGCAGCAAAGCATTCACAGCATGAGCTTTAATATCCCTCTGATCCTGGCAGGAGCAATCCAGGGCAGGGATGGGAGGGACTCAGGCAAGGAAACTGACTTCACCCTGCTGTTGTGGATTTTGCTTAATGGCTTTCTGATCCCCCAGCCCACCTGTTACACTCACCCCTACAAGCCACTCCCCTTCATTGCGGGGCACGAACTTTCAGATACTCTTCCTTATGCACACACTTCACTTGCTCCTGATCAATACAGTGGTCTGTGACGCAGGCACAACCACTACTAGGATTAGAGAGATGTCCCATCGTCACCTCTCGACTTCTAACTATTCTGGAGATGCAGCTACAGGATTGTTGCATTCCCACTCCTGGTCCCCCCTCCCACCCCGAACTTTTCATATATGGTTGCAGCCCTGGGCTGTGATACCTTCATATGCTGAAGTGACTGACGGCTCTCTTGCTCTCATCGTATTTCCTCCTGTTTTCAATATTGTCCTCCAGCTCCATATGGACTCTTGCAATTTAGTGCCCCTGAGGGATGGTGCCTTGTTTGAGATTTTACTGGAGAACTCTGATGTATAGTGGTAAGCAGTCAAACGTGGCAGCAGCAGCAGCTGCTGCCTGTCAAAGATCTGAACAGGACCTTCGGTGTTTTCTGTTCTCAGTGTGAGACCATATCGAAAGGGCTCTCGCATCCAAAGGTGCAAGAGAGGGTGATGACAGCAGCATGGGACTAGGCAGGCAATTGCCTGAGACAATGGATGTCTGTTAAAAGCTGAACTCTGAGACCGTCCCACCAGCAACCACTCTCACTGCCCATCACTTAAATAGGAACATTTATTCCCACCTAGTTACATTGCTCAGGGCTCTGGATAATTTTGCACCCTGTGTCACACAATTAGGTTGCTCTAACCTCCAGTGTAGGTGCGACTAGGTCGACAGAAGAATGGCCCTCAGAGGTCCATTAATGACCTTGATGGAAAAACCGCTTTTGTTGTAGGAAGCATCGATGCTACAGCTGCGATGCCGTAGCACTGTAGTATAGACATACCCTTAGTGAGGTGTTTTTGAATGGGCAGCGCCTGACCCTCAGGGTAATGATTGCTGGGGCAGACTGTAGTGCTGTATGAATGTCAGATAAGCAGCAGTTGCTGTTTACTGGGAAAGGTGTTGAGTTGCTAGCAGTAAGAACTGAAATCCTCACTCCAGGAAAATGGCACGGGATGGTCAGTGCGAGCAGTCTCTTGCATGCACCAACACTGACCCGCAGATACTCTTGTTACCCCTGATCTACAGGTCTCTGTCGCATGTGAATGGTGTCACTTGTTATGTGGCCATCTGTCAGCTGAGCTAAGCATTCTAACTTCTTAAACCTAGGCCACCAAACAACTGTCAACTGGTATTAACTCTGTCCCTGGTGCCTGGATCCAGATCTGAACCAGCGCTTGAGCTGAAAGGCTCAGTATTGCTTTAGGTCTTTACTGCTTCCACTCACTAACATGTTCATGAGGCTGGGACAGAGCTAGGAAGGGGAATGGAACTGACTCCATTCTGGCTATGCGCTGAGTCACATGAGCATGATGGGGGAGGAAAATGGTGGTGATGGTCACACTCTGGATGAGAAAATGAAAACGCAAACAGGGCCAGGCTTTGGAAGTTGCTGGCGCAGTCAGCTGTATTTTCACCACAAGAAAAACAACAACAACAAGAGTTCTTTTCAGTTCACTCAGGAAGCCTGATAATGACCTGGGATCTCAAACCTGCACTCGTGTTTCACAGACTGAGCCCATCGATAGCATTAGACCACCTGAAACTGACACATGTTGGACTGTGTGTCTGGAATGGAGGAGGTTAAAAATGTACATAGAACAAACCCGATTCAGTGGCTGAATATAATGTACCAAGTGTGACAGCTAGGAGTCCCAAAAACCACTATAAAGTGACTTAGGTGTTAGCGTAAGTCCAAGGGTTCTGAGATAGAGGGCAAAGGCCAATGAAAGACCGGAAAACCCTCTCCTCCAAAGTTGGCCATTGAATGATCTCAGCCAAGTAAAATTCATTGCCCCCTAGCCTAGGACAAGTAATTTTTTAATTGGTAATCATAGTATCTTCATTTTCATTGTAAAAATCATTTTTTGTCCCAGGCAAGTGCCAGGGCTAGGAAATGTTCATGACAATTTGGGCAAGGCTAAATGATCTGTAATATGCTTGTATCTATTTGTCTTAAATAGTTTTCATAGCTAGAGCTTCCATGTTTTGGCTTTAAACTAATTACCTGTAAACAGCTGCTGCTATGAGTCTTGGACCCTGAGCTTAAAGTCTGGTTGTACTTAGAAAAGTGACTGTACAATTTATTTGTGGTCTTTGTATTTATAGCATCTCTGGATAAAATATGCTCAATTTACAAGTCAAATGGCAATTGTTTTTCTAACTGCCAGCCCCACAAACCCAAGCTGGAATCTGTCAGTCAAGCTGAGGCCCTTCTGGCTCACATATCACCAGTAGTAACCATACTGAGAGGTAAGCTCTGCTCTCATTGGAATACACTGGAATACAAGACCTGTGGCATAGCCGAGGCTGGCCCAGATCAACTGGCTTGGGCTGCAGGGCTAAAAATTGCTGTGTAGACAATTAGGCTCGGGCTGGGTTCTGGGACCAGCCCCCCTCGAGGGGTCTCAGAACTGAGGCTCCAGCCAGAGCCGAAACTTGTACACATCAATATTACAGCCCCGCAGCCCAAGCCTGAGTCAGCTGACCTGGACCAGCCACAGGGGTTGAATTGCTGTGTAGATATATCCATAGGCACTTGTCTAACTTAAGTAACTATGAATGTTCTCAGGTGTAAGAGAGCAGGATCTGAATTTGTCAGCTGATTCTGATGTGCTCCTCACTGCGGTATCTAGGAGTTCAATACAGCATTAAGATTTCCATGCACTTGAACCTTAACAATTCTGTTCATATGCAAGCCACAACTGAATCCCACTCACTCTCCCATAGCTGTGTTAGCGCTGCAATACTAATGACTGCATTGTATGAAGAGCCTGGCTACAGCAGAGACAGTTACACTAAAGTTCCTCAATGTAGTCACACTGGCATGAGCCTCTGATGCAGGCACGCAGCAGTGATGAAAAGTGGGGTTTATGCCGGTAATTGACTGCATCAATTGTAGTGTGACCCCAGTGCAAATGTCTAATGTAGATAGGGTCTAAAGCACACGGTGGTGACTCGTCTATCAGCGGAGTAAGAAGGTGCTGGCTTTACACTCCTCTTTTTGACCACAACCACACTGACCTGATACTGCCCAATCTGAATGTGGACAGTGGGGTGTTAAGCAAGGCTAGCAGGGGAAGGCGCAGAGATCAGAAGCAGCACTGAGTGTCAAGAAATGCCTGGAAGACTCTGCTTTACTGCATCACAGAAAGATGCTGAATAATTTAAATTCCCTGATTTATGTTCATGCAAATAAATACTTTGGGTCAGTTGTCCTTTTCGTAGCTAACAAAGGGCCGCTCTGGAACCGCTTAGAGCAGAGCAGGCCCAATAGCCATTTGGTGTTAGGATGCTTATTCAGGGTCAGTTTTCAACCACGGTCCGTTCTCAGTTCCCGGCCGAAGCTCTTGATCCCTCGCCCTGTGTTTCATGCAATGTTGAGCTGCATCATATAAGGAAATGATTCCCTTGTCCTTCTGGCTACTGAGGACTTTCCTATATACATGGAGGCATCAATACTGTACATACAGTTCATGCACACAGCTGGTTAGCTGGGTTTAGAGAGGACATGCAGGCCCTCACATAGCTTTAGTACAATGTCCCCTACCTCCCTGGCCAACTTCAGCTATTTTGCTTGAGTTCTCCTTGTTAAGGATGGGCCGACTGCTGCTGGGCTGCCTCTGCATGAGTCGGGTGGCTGAGTGCAGCCCCTCCCTTTTGGAAACACACTCCACAGCCCACGGAGCTGTCTGGGAATGTGGTAGAGATTTGTGGAAATGGTCAGTTTACACTACATTCCAAATAGGAACTGACAATGGATTGAGCAAAGTCCTGCAAATTTACAAATGTGCTGGGAAATGGCCTACATGTGAAGCCTCTGGCTCTGCTAGAATATCATCCATGTGTAATGGTTTGTCAGCTGATGTGCAAACTCAGTGGCCTCATAGTTCCTTTTACCCTATCTGCTCTCTCTCTGAATGTGTGCAGTGCACTCTGGCAAAGAAACCCCATGTACCAGTGCTACTGTCTTGCCTGCGCTTTCATTGGTTAGTGCAGTTAGGGTGAAGGCCATCATGAGTTCCTCTCACAGCAGGGCTCTGCCTGCTTGTGGCAGCAGGTGGATGATACCCTCTGCTGCTGTTCTGTGCACAGAGAACCCTGCATTTGGTACCCCCTGGGGGTTGAGCCAGCGGCGTTCAGGCAGTGGGTTAAGTGCAGGAATATAGTGAGTAAAGAGTTCGGGCTGCTGAAAAGCAGGGCGTGGTGCTGTTGGTTTAATTTGTTAGCGCATTTGCCTAGAACTGGGCTCAAAGACCAGTATGGGGGGGAGGAGTGGGCCCAGCAGCCCAACAACAGGATTGGGAATCAGGCATCAGAAGTCTTGAATTCTAGTCTCAGCTCTGGCACGGTTTCCCTTTGTGATTTCAGGTGAGACAACTTCTCTGCCTCAATTTCCCCACCTATAAAATGGGGA